TGCAAGAGGGACCAACTGAGATCAAAAGTGGCCTTTGATAGAAAAATGTGGACACTGCTAAAAACTGACCCAACAGGGAGGGAGGGGAAGAACACCCTGGCGCCCTCTCTACCTGTCTTCAGATGTCTTACTGGAATCTCTGATCAGCTGAACCAAACTGGAAACCACAGAGCTAGAGGACCTCTCGCTGCTTAAAGAGGGACCATTCTGGAGTAGAACACAAATCTAAGGGTGGAAGGGCAAAGCTAAAATAACTAACGTACTCATAAGTTGCTCAACAGGTTTGGACATTATTCTCTCCACTGCTTTCTTCTTGAGATGCTCTCTTCTCTTGGCTCTTGTCTCAGTTACTTTTCCATTGCTGTGGCAAGATACCATGACCAAGGCCACTTGTAGAAGAGAGAGTTTACTGCCATTTTATATCACAGTCCCTTCAGTTTTAAAATCTTCACTCTGAGTCAGGATAAAAAGACAGGAAATTTTTGAGGGACCTAAGAAGCAGAGAGGAGCCCCTCATCCAGTAATCTAAGGTAGCTGCACACTAAAGAGATGGCTTGTTATTTTGATATTGAAAAGTAGAATTGGTGGGGGGTGGAGATGGGTCAGCTCTCAAGAGTACTGACTGAGCTTGCAGAGGGCCCAGGTTCTGTTCTCAGTACCACATGGCAGCCCACTCTGCCTGCAACTCTAGTTCCCGGGAACTCTTATGAACTCTGTGGCTTCCAGCATGCATGTGGCTCCCATACAAACATTCAGACACACACAATATATATATATAATATATCATATTATATATTAATATGTATATATCAATACACATATGTATATATGAATATATTCTATAAAATATACATATATAACACATATATAATATATAAAACATGCATATATATATATATATATATATATATGAGCTTAGATGATACTGCAGGTCATTGTATTTAATGTTGCAGATCTTCCTCGGATATCTTAGCAATTCCTGACTCTGTTAGGTAGGGAAGGTCTTTGAAATACCAGTTTTGAACATAGTAAATTTCACATGCTAATTAGATATACAAGTGGAGACTTTGTGTAAATCAATTACAACGTGGCATTTAAGAGAAAGAAAATTAGGTGAAGGTTTGCTAGTGTTTATGTATCTCAGTCACGCGCATTTGGTTGGCTGGGACTGATTAATGAAAGTAGATAGGAAATAGGTTGGATGCATGCCAACATTGGACTGTGAGCCTTTAGTGGAGATATTAATTGGTTGTCATGAGTAAAGAAATGGCCTTTGAAGGGATGACTTCTGCATGTAGAGCAGCAGTTCTCAACATCCTGGTGTGGCGGCCCTTTAATACAGATTCTCATGTTGTGCTGACCCTAACCATAACATTATTTGTGTTGCTACTTCATAACTATAATTTTATTTCTGGTATGAATCATAATGTAAATATCAGTATTTTCCAATGGTCTTATGAGACCCTGTGAAAGGATCATTCCACCATCCCCACAAGAGGTTCCGACCCACAGGTTGAGAACCACTGATGTGCAGGAAAAGGATGTGGTGGTGACAATTTTCCATAGTCATTTCAAACAGCTCCCGTGAACATCCTGCTGAATTCTGTATCTTTAATAGGGAGAGAAGCCTCATTCTCCATCAGCTCTAACACAAGCATACAACAACCCAGAGATTTTCAACAAGGGACCTCTTTGCCCTCCCTTCTCCCTCAGGAACCTTTGACAGTGTAGTTGATTTTAGTACCCCTGAAGGTTCTACTGACCTCTAGTGGGTGGAGGCCAGGTTTGCCAAGCAGCCTGCAATGCCCAGGGCAGCTGCCCAGACCAAAGATCAATCCATTCCCCCTACCTTGTAGTTGTGCTGCTGTTAAGAAATGTTAACATTATCTGTGCTATTTTTCCTGTTTGTCAAAAAGATCCTGTTTGTGAAAAAAGGACTCTGAAAGTTGCAATATTTGGGAATGCTAAAGGTTTGTGTGCTAAGTTACGTAAATACTGGTAACAGTGTGAAATTTGACCTGAGGAGTTATTTGGCTCCTCATCTTTGTCACTGTGTTTGTTTCACTCCTGGTGATAATGTCGAGTCCATGCATCAAAACGAATGCAAAACAAGTGGTATAAATTGTCTGTCTGGGTGTAAAAGCTTGAGAGCAGTGTGGGAAGAGCCCATCACACATCCCTGTGAACACACACACCCGTGAAAGAAGCTTCGGATTGTGGCTTTTTTTCCTCATGTGGTTTCATTTTTGCCCAACCGATGGCAAAAGCACTCCTCTTTACTTAGATTCATCTTTCGCAACCCAGCTGAACCATTTCACAGATGTTCTTTTGGGATAAATGCACTAGGTGGCCAGACAATGTTGCTAAGTTTGTCACTGAGGTGACAATGTAAGAGACGCCTGTCAGTGAAATGTGCACATCAAATTTTTAATAATGTCTTTGTTTTGTCCCGCTCTAGCCCTCTAACAAGTATAAAAGTGTCGGTAAGTTGTCGCCGAGGTGCCATTGACAGTGGCTGGCTGCCAGGGAAGAACTGTCAGCATTTTAACTGCTGCGGTCCCTGATAGGTTGGCCATGCCCCAGTGGATGGTCCACCCACGCTTATATGGACAGCACTGATTAGACCCAGTAGGATATGTATGTAGTTTAATGTATATATAATACAAGCAGTAGGAGATGGGAGGATCTGTCTGAGGGATTGGAAGGGAGGAGTGTGGTGTGACGATGATTGAAATACATTATTCGCATGTATAAATTCTTTTTAAAGACTTGTTTGTTTATGTTTCTGATTGCTCTATCTGCACGTATGCCTGTTTGCCAGAATGGGACATCAAATCTCATTGTAGCTGGTTGTGAGCCATCGTGTGGTTGCTGGGTATTGAACTCAGGACCTCTGGAGGAGCAGCCAGTGCTGTTAACCACTGAGCCATCTCTCCAGCCCCCGCTCATATAAATTTTTAAGAGAGACATTTTTAAAAATATGTATTAAAAGGGTTGGTAAGTAGGCCTCAGGAATACAAAGAAAACAATGCTAATACAGCATTAACAAGTAATGGCAGTTTATACAACTATGTTTAGAGACATTTGTGTTTTTTTTCAAATAGCAAATATAGAAAGATAGAATAATCATAAAGATTGAATAAATAAACATTTTTCTACTGATTATAAAACATGAAAATAGATTTAATTAAAATATTAGACTGTCTCTGACATGAACTCAGTGGCTGGCTCTTTGACCTCCCCCTCCACCCCCCGAGGAAGGAGCAGCCACAGAGGAGGACATTGCAGCCGGTCCTGATGAGACCTGATAAACTAGGGTCAGATGGAAGGGGAAGAAGACCTCCCCTATCAGTGGACTTAGAGAGGGGCATGGGTGGAGAGGAGGGAGGGAGGGTGGGATTGGGAGGAAATGAGGGAGGGGGCTACAGCTGGGATATAAAGTAAAGAAACTGTAATTAATATTAAAAAATAAAAATTCTGTAAAAAATAAAAAAGTAATAAAATATTAAAGGTAAGATTTTATTTGCATATACATGTATTTACACATGATTTTATTTACATATAAATAACTAGAGTCAGTTGCTACAGGAATCTTTGTCTTCAGGTCCTTCATGAAAGCTATTAAAATCCTACTGGAAGGTAAAATTTTTTAAGTGAAGTTAAAAAACATCACTCAGGTGTTCTCTAAAAGGGATCACCTGATTGGCCTTGCCTAATTCAGATCCATCCTCAAATTGTGTCAGCATGAAAACAAACCTAGGTAGGTTTCTGTCGATCTCAGAGAGAAGTAGAACCCATCAGACATTATTAAGGTCTGAATCTGCAACGACCCCCAGACGAGTGTTAAAGGCCGGCTGATGGGTGTAGTGACAATTTTGGAATTTTGGTTTCTTTAAAAACACAGAAATATGATAAGAATGTGTTTTTGTTTTAATCCTAGGGGTGGGGATATGAGGCCGCTTCAGACTGATTATGATTTGCCTCGTGCTCCAGCAGAGGCGTGGTTTTGCCAGCTGCAGTTTTGTGACAGCTGTAATTCTGGGAACTTTTCCGAGGGTACATAAATGCGAAGGCCACAGAGGTGTGTGGGTGGTTTTGGGCCATTTAGGGAGGTTGTTTGCAGTTTGTTAGTAGCTGTGGTCAAAGAAGAAATGAAAGGAAAGAAATTAGAGTCAGGATTTTCCAATTCCTCTCTCCCCTCTTATCTTCTTCTCTCCTATCTGGTGTTAGGGAGCGAAATGGGGTGGTTAAAGAGTGTGAAAAAGAAGAAGCCACAAAGTAGAAAAAGCCAGCTACAGACAGGGCTTCCCTTCTGGATCGTGAATGCTCTGACTTATCAATGGGCTATTCCATCGATGGAGTCATAGTCTGATGGCCTTATTGGGAGGTGGTGAAGACTTAAGAGACGGGGTTATTTATAGAAGTAAATGACCAGATACATTATGCCTTTGAAAGTCATCTTGTGTCTGCTCCTTGCCTGTCTTCCTCTCTTTCTCCTGTCGGTTACTAGGTGAAGGTGCTCAGTGCATGCTGTCCCCTGCCATATGTGCCTCACTATGCCCGGGCCAGGAGCAATGGGGACAAGTGACTCTGGACTCAGATCCCAGAAACCATGAGGAAAATAATTCTTCCCTCCTGTAGATTATTTCAAGTATTTGTCACAGGGAAGATACTGACTATCACAGGTGTGCTCAACAACACTGGAGCGTTAGAGCAAATGGCCTGGAAAGAAAGCCAAAGGCATTGAGGTTCCTGCTTTCTAGCACAGGGTTCTTCACAGGGCCAGGATCCCACGTGTGAGTCCTTATTTTGCATTAATAAAAATAAGTGTCCTGGTGCAAACTCCTACACAATACCTTCTGCCTGTGTTCCTGGGCTTGAAATGGTGTTTCTGTTCTGATTCCAGTTGTCTGATATGGTGATCCCTTTTCCTGTTGTTAATAATTAACACAACCTAATTGATCCCAAATTTTTATGTTCACTTTACTTTAAACGGAAGGTAGCTTCAAAGAGGTGACATATTTGGTTCTGATCCCATCTCAAGCCATGTGTTTTTGGGGGATATTTTTGTGTTTGATCTTCCTGGAGAAAAGTTGGGGACAGATACAAATGTAAGTGAGGCAAAGCATCTTTGTTTTATGGTGTGTGTGAGCTTGTGACGCCTGAGAAGTGGGTGTGCGTCACCTTGCAAACCTGACAATACCGTCTCCCCTGAGACACCAAGTGTGTGAGCTCTTCTGAGTGAGAAAGTCGAGCTTGGATCAGTGAGTGGCCAATGCATGACAGCTCGTGGCAGCTCTTAGATCAGTGAGTGGCTAACCCACCACAGCTCTGCTGCCTGTAAGAACAATGGAAGTGGTTATGCACATTACTGTCAACAAAAACTTAACCAAAAGAATATGTAATATATTATTGTTTATATGTATATATAGAGAGAGACATACACATATATACTTTTTGGGTTTTGTTTTGCTTATTTGTATTTGGTGCTTAGTTTCTTTGTGTTTTTTATGGTTCTGCTACAGTTACTTGGGTATCAGCTCCTTTTTAAATTAATTAGTATATTTTATTTTTAATTTTTTCATACATTTTGATCATAATCTTCCACCTTTCCCAGTTCCTCCTAGATTCTCCCCTGCTCGACTCCATGTTCTTTTTCTCTCTTAAAAACCAAAACCAACCAACCAAAGAAGAAGTACTGATAAAATTAGGGTCAGAACCTGGGCTCCCATGATTCGTGCTGAAAATGTTCTGAAAGTTTTCTACAGCGTTGTGTTGGCCCTTACGGAAAGGCAGCTCCACACTTTTTCTGAAAAAGTGACAAAGCATATTGTGAAACCATGGGAATCAATCACTCAATGGATAAATTGTTTGATCCAATAACTATATGTTGAGCACTTTCTGTGTGACAGGCAGTGAGGGTGTAACAGATGGAAGAGAAATTCCTAGAGCTTTCATCATAGTGGGAGAGTCGGGGAATGAATGAGAGATGCATAAATAAGAATGGGGCGTGTAAAGGTGTGTAAGAAGATTTAGAAGTCAAAGCACAGAAGTGAAGGAGCAAGCCACACACATGCCTGGGGGAAAGCATGCTAGGGAAAGGCCAGACTAACGCTCCTGCCTCTGCAAGCTTGAGGCCTGATGCTCCGCTGCTGGTTAAAGAACATAAAAAGATGAAGTTGTTCCCATGGGCACACTGCAGATGTGTGTGTGCATCTATGCTGCAGATACATCAGTGAGGACCAACATGCGTATGAAGGAGAACCACACCAGATGAGGCGCGTTGGCATTTTGAGTATGCTGTATCTCACCACTCCATCACATAGACAATGGAAGAACTGCAGAGCAGCCCACGGCCTCGAAGAACACTGAAATTAAGGGAGCCTTTAATTCTTAATATATATTTTTTTGTCTCATTCAAAAATTCTCAGCAAGTTCAGTTTAGGACAACCACTAGAAGTTTTAATTCTGGAAACAGGCTGTTCACCTTAAGTTCTTAATTCAGTAGCTGGCTAGCGCGATGGCCCAGGACAAATGAATAACACTTGGCTAGTCTTAAAATGGGAGTGATAGTGAGGCCCTCCATACTGACTGTATAGTGCTGTAGCAATATAGTGAGTAATGTCTATATAACTTGCTGGGGATGGCACAGTGAGTGATGTTTGTATACCAGGCTGAGGATGGAATCTTTTTTTTTTTTAACACACATTTGTTTTTGTTTTTGTTTTTGTTTTTTTCCAGAGCTGAGGACCGAACCCAGGGCCTTGCGCTTGCTAGGCAAGCGCTCTACCACTGAGCTAAATCCCCAACCCCGAGGATGGAATCTTAATGTCCATTCTCATTTTCTGTGTCTCTGCTAAGCATGTACATCAGATGACGAAGGTTTACAGATCCCTCAATCGGTCTATAAATGCCTCCAAATTACCTGTGTAGGAGAACAGAGGTCTGAATTGCTGATTAGCTTTATTGTTATGAAAGGCTGGCTGATTGGTGAAACTTTAAACTTACTTTAAGCTATGCATTAAAAAATAACAATATAACTTAAAATATTATAATATTGGTAGTTGACTGTAATAATCCTCAGGTTGGGTGGTGGGTGTGCCCCTATCTGTTGGGACACTTAAATGACCATTGTATTTCAAAACCAGGTCGTGTTGGCCCAAGCCTTTGATTCCAGAACTTGAGAGGCAGAGGTAAGAGGATCTCCAAGTTTGAGACCTGCCAGATCTACTACTAAGCTGAGAAATCCTCTCTTGAAAAAGGACAACAGCAAAAAATGTTTCAAAGCTTGCCTTCAATTCTGTTTTTGTATAAATTCCATGCAAAACAAAACTGAAGAGCCTACGGTTGTAGGCTTGCAAGCTTGACCCCAATTATAAACAAAGAAACTGGAGTGTTCTGAATATAAACTCCTGCCGCATTCACTTATAAACCGTGTGGCCTTGATCAAGTTACTGTGGCTTGAATGTAACATATGTCGAAACTCGGTCACATGACGATTGTTGTCATCAAGCTAGCAGCGCTACTGCCGGTTAGCTCACACTCAGGACTTTCTCCTTTAGTTTGTGGACATTCCTCTAGCTCGTCTGTGTTGTAAATTTGTCTTCCCACAGATGTAACACATTTTTAAGACCACTTTCTTTTGACTACTTTAGTGAGTGCCATTATTTCTTGGGTAGTGAGATGCAATGCTTTATAGACATGTTCTTATTTAGCTCACCACAGAAAAAGGTGACAGAAAAGCTAGAGATTAACCTCTCTCACACACCAGAAGACAGAGCTGGCATTCAATGACTGGAGCCTATTTGATATTTTTCTTCATTGGAGAAAAATGACACCACTTACATGTTCTAGTCAAGTGTGTGTGTGTGTGTGTGTGTGTGTGTGTGTGTGTGTGTATGTGTGTGTGTGTGTATGTGTGTGTGTGTTTATATCAGCACATAAAATGTTAACGCATTATGGCCTTATTTAGAACTCTTTAGGTAGGGTAGGCCAGAGACACACTAGGACTACTTTTAAAACTATGAACCAAATAAATTCCCTGTTCTATTACTTCTCCTAAAAAAAAATATGCTGAATTTGTCATTGATCACAAACAAGTGTACTTTTCTTTTCTTTTTTTTTTTTTTTACAAGTGTACTTTTCTAAACATGACTATTAGAAAATACATCTATCCTGAGATGATCATGAACCAGAGGTAGAAGACTGTGTCTCCAAAGCTACTGAGCCTTTTCCTGTTTCAACAGATGCACCGTTGTAACACCAAAAGTCTTCCGAGTCGGAGAATATGAACAAGTTACATTTGAAGCCCACGGTCACACTGACCCATTTGATGTAACCATCTCTATAAAAAGTTACCCTGATAAAAATGCTAATTACTCTTCAAGCTCTGTACATTTATCACCAGAAAATAAATTCAAAAACTCTACAATCTTAACAGTATGTATTTGTCTTTCTTTTTAAAGTATCTATACAAAATATTTTGGTAAAATATGTATAATTTTGAATATTGATAGCATTTGTTTCAGTCAACCACTGTGTAATTATTATATGATTATCATTAACTGATAATAATCTGAGTTTAACAAAATCCTTGTATATATTTTAAATGATTTATTTATTTTTATTTTATGTACATTGGTGTTTTGCCTGCATGTATGTCTAGGTGAGGTTGTTGGATCCCTGGAACTAGAGTTACAGACAGTTGTGAGCTGCGATGTCAATGCTAGGAATCGAACCCTGGTCCTCTGGAAGAGTAGCCAGTGCTCTTAACTGCTGAGCCATCTCTCCAAACCCTGAGTTTAACAGTAATCTAAACAGAAAATTGTGTTTGCTTTTTGAGAATGCATGTAAATATTACCAATTTTTATTGGAAAATAATGTTGTAATGATGTGGAAACATTTGGAGATGAGTTAAAATAATTTTGTGCATGGAATTATCACTAAAAACGGAGAAACTTAAACATGCATGCTCTTAACATAGATGCATAGTCTTTGGCCAGATGCATAGACTACTGGATGTGGTCCAAACTAATAAAAAATATGATTTTCTTTTATTTTTTTTTCACCAATATGTGACTTCCTCCCTACTTTCAGTGATGACGGTGCGCTGGGGATGGGGCCAGGGTCTCCTGTTAGGCCAGAGTTTTCTCAGAGAGTGCTGAGCTACAGTTACAGCCTCCAGGGAAATGCCTGGCTACTGCAGGAACAGCTCTCATTGATAATCAGCAAGAGAAATAGCAAGCTTAGGCAAATGACTTTTTCTCCAATTACCACATTTCCAGGCAGGGGACGTGACATAGTTCAGTGGTACAGCATGGCACCCACAGGGCCCTGGGTTCAAACCCCAGTGACATGCAGAGTCATTTTAATACAGATTCTTTGGAAAAGTATTTGCAACCCATCTTATTAAAAGTTGTGATAACAAAAAAACATAAAAAATGAGAAAGTAGCCAGGCTCCATGGCGCACACCTTTGATCCCAGTACTCGGGAGGCAGAGACAGGTGGATCTCTGTGAGTTCAAGGTCAGCCTTGTCTACAAATTGAGTTCAGGACAGCCAAGGCTACACAGAAAACCCTTTCTCAAACCAAAAACAAGGCTCTGTAGAAATTGATGTTTCTCTACAGCAAGAAATTCGTGAGGAAAGTAAAAAAGAAAATGTTCTAAAGGGCCTAAGGTTAGAGTTGGGCAGGTTTTCTAGTATTTTTAAGTTTGTATGTTTTCTTTTCTTTATTTATATGTTTTAACATGTGCCTGAATGAGTTTGTATACACCATGCACATGCAGGCCCTTAGATGCTAGAAGGGCTGATCAGATCCCCCAGAAACTGGAGCTACATGTGGCTGTGAGCTGTCGGACATGGAGGCTGGTCCTATGCAAGACCAGTAAGTCTCTTGACCACTGAGCCATTGCTCCAGTCCCTATCTTGGCCTTTAAATATCTAAAAATAATAGGAGTAAGATTTCTGCTTAATTCAAGTATATATATTCATATATATATATGTGCATATATTTCAAAATAGATGTATATATATGTATGCTTATCTTAAAACTTTAGCGTGATGTAAGACAATGAAGGGCTTTGGGCAAAACTAATCCATTATTTTTGTTCCTGAAGAGGTTTTAGTTACTTAGTTCGGTTGGTTGATTGTGTATATAAAGCAGATTGTCTCCATGTAGTCCTGGATAGACAGGAAATCAAGATCCTCTTGCCTCAGCTTCTGTAGTGAAGTACTGTACCTCTTTTATTATCATCATCATCATTATTATTACTATTATTAATTGTTGTTTTTGAGACAAGGTCTTACTGGGTAATTCTGACTGTTCTAGAACTCACTGTGTAGACCAGGATGCCAGGCTGGCCTTAAGCTCACAGCTACCTCTTTCCTCTGCCTCCCAGTGCTTGGATTAAAGCGATGTACCACTACACCTAACTCATTATCATTTCTTAATTTCAGGCATATGGGAGCTTGCATGAATGTTTGGGTACTGTTGAATGCAGAAGAGGGCATAGGATCCCCTGGAACTGGAGTCAGAGATGGTTTGAGCTGCCTTGGAGGTGCTGGGAATTGAACATATGTCCTCTGGAAGACCAACCAGAGCTTCTAACTGCTGAGCCGGTGTACTTCTTTAAAAATGATGCAATACACAAATTCAATTTTGGTCTCAATGAGACCTGAGTGGTTTTGTTTGTTTTGGTTTTGTTTGTTTGTTTTGTTTTTTGAGAAGGTCAGAATGCTTTGCAACGTCACAGTCGGACTTTCCCATCCGTGGTTTTTGTTTTTGTTTTACAGATTCAGCCCAAACAGTTGTCTGAAGGGCAAAACTCGTCTTCGCATGTGTATTTGGAAGTTGTGTCCAAGCATTTTTCAACATCAAAAATAATGTCAATCGTCTATGACAATGGCACTCTCTTCATTCAGACTGACAAGCCTGTGTACACTCCAGAGCAGCCTGGTAGAGTATATGATGCTTCACTCAGGGGACAGAAATGACATAAATATGTGGACCTTTTAATATCTGAAAATGAGTGGAGATGGTTTCTACTTAAGAGAAACTCAAATCCTAATGGCATTTATACTCTCAAACAGCACTTTCATTTTTAATTTATAGAGGAATTGCTAAATAAATCACACAATCAATGATTGCCCCATTAGAGAATCTAATCATCAAAAGTACAGAAGACATAATTGCAAATACAGTTCTGGCACGGGGAAATGATTTAGCTTAAAATCTTGTCAGTAAAGCATTCTTGGATTCGGTAGCTAGTCAAGTTGGAAAGAGAATTCCAAATGAAGATTGGATGTTTGGCAGGGATTAAAGTACATCACAGAAATGTCTAGATGCTGGTTTTCTACGTTTATCCACATAAGAAGGGGCCTGCCAAGCATGGTTTCACATTTACAGTCTTCCTGTTAGAGGGGAATGGTAGGAGCCTATGTTTCCCCCCCAAAGAACAGAGGCGCAGAAAAAATGTCGACTGGTTTATAAAATGTTCTGCTCTTTTCCACATACCACTTCCCTTCACTACAGTTAGAGCCGGGTTTTTGCAAGGTGTGCATGTGGCGGGAGGAAGGGGGGCTGCTTCACTGACGACACTTTGGGGGAAGGACCAACAATGGCAGGAGGGAGCATCGGTTTTGCTTTGTTTCGCTTTTTTAAACTCGCGCACAGTAGACACCTTCTAGTTTTGGTGGACGCTGATACTGTCAGTAGCGAGGTGGAATGGGGTTGTATGATAACTATCACATCATTCAGCAAGAGCACCTGCTAGAAAGGGAAGGCCTCGACAGGGTGAGGATATCGCCACCAGCTGAGACAGAGTGTCCTTGCCAGAACCACTGATCTGACTCCAAAATGATTTGGTTTACGCGCCCACAAGAATATTCTAAAGTCCTTTATCCTATTGGTGTATGTAGTGTGAAGATGTGTGAAGGATTATCTGCCGAAGCATCTTTGAATAAAGACTTAAGTCTTGGGCCTGGAGAGATGGTTCAGTGGTTGAGAGCATGGACTGCTCTTCCAAAGGACCAGGGTTCGATTCCCAGCACCCACATGGCTCCAGTTCCAGAGTCTCTGGCACCCTCTCACAGACATATATGTAGGCAAAACACTAATGCACATAAAACAAAAACAAACAAATTACTTTAAAAAAAAAGACTTAAGTCTCCAAGGCTTCCTAGGATAAAGGGCCTTAGAATATTGTTCAGAATCCTTCAGCTCTGGACAGCCTGTGTCCTGCCCTCTTCCTCAGCTCCCTTAGCTGTACTATGGCCCCCTCAGCTGTAGACTCATGGCAAACTGCTCTCAGCTCAGATGCTTTTCCTGGCGTCTTCTTGTCCATCTGGAGGTGGTGCTGAGTGCCCTTGCCTCTGCACAGCACATTCTTAACCCCTCCTTTGCCTCAGTTAACTCCTGCTGGCACCATCCTCACACAGGGAGCTGCCCGACCCTGTAACTACATCTGCCCGCCAACGCCACCCCGCCCCCACTCACATTTTCACACACTCTCCGTATCCTCTTACTTTGTCAGTGCTACGGATCAAAATGCAGGGCCCCTTATAGGCCAGGGAAGTACTCCATCACCAAGGCGCATCCTCTGTCCTCTCTTCTGTACCCTCACAAGGCAAGCCAGGGCCCTCTGTAGCTCCCCACGCTCCTGGAAGTCTACGTAACTGTATTTCCCCTCTCCCACCCAACATTAAGAGACAGCCATATGTGACTCGTTTCGCCACTCTTATTTCATTGTCTAGCAAACAGGAGGCCTCTGAGAACTAAGATTAATAGTTGAAGTTAGTCAAAAACTAGGTTAGAAACTATGCAAATACTAGTTATTAAAACAATGATGATAATGTAAATGTTTGCTGCTTCTTTTGCTCTTTGGTGCTGAGTCATGTGGAAACTCTGTGTTCTACGCGTCTGCGAGTACTATGGCGAGGCAATGCTAATGTTCCTGGTTTACTAGTTAGCTAAGATTCAAAGGTCAAGCAGGGAAGAGGAAACCACAGACAGAGAGGAGAGGAGACCACAGTTTGGAACTTCAGAACCTGGGATCTTAGCTTTTGCCACATGCTGCTAATAGCTCCTTCCTGATAACTGGACAGGGAGGGCAGGGTTGTCCGAAGACAGGAGGGGGAATTCGAGGTGGACGGCAGCAGGGAAGGAAGGAGAGAGTGGAGTGTGGGAGGCTTACTGTTCAGATCGATTTCACCTTGTTACCCTGGCAAAATGTGTTTTGATGGGATTTCTTCATAGAGCTTACACCACACTGACAAGGAGCTGAAATGGTGTTATGGCACTATTTCTATTTTAGTGTGTGGATCAAGACAGGGCTATGAACTGGTTTGAAAAGCCCCAAAGAATGAAAATGTGTCACTGTGCCCCAAAGAGTGGAGTTAGAATCTCTACCAAAATGCTCAATGCAGTTTAGGCAACCACGGTACTAAGATTTCGGGGGCATCCTGGTCCTCTGGATCTCTCATTCTTTCCGCCTCCTGCTCCACAATGTTCCCTGAACTGTAGGTATAGGGCTGTGGTTTAGAGGTATCGTTTGGGGGTAGATATCCCACTGTCTTCTGCTGTTTGTATTTTGAGCAGCTGTGGGCCTTTGTAGCTGACATACCAACACAGGCAGGGGAAGTTTTAAAAGGCCTCAGCCTAGATGAAGAGCTATGGGCAGTCAATGACTGTTGAGAAGGGAGAGTCAGTTTTGTCCAGGGATGAGCCCGCAATAGCTGATCCAGTCCCGAATAGTCAGAACACGTGTGCACAGGAGCAACACAGGAGTGTGTTTGTGTGTGTGTATGTAAATATAACAGTAATAGGCCTGGGGTAGAAATGATGTAAAAATAAGTAAGCAAGTTAATAAATAAATAAGCTTTGATACACATATGAAATTTAAAAAATAGAAGTTAAGGCAGGGCATGGTGGTGCGTGTCTGTAATCACAGAACATGGAAGGCTGATGTAGGAGGGTTGTGAATCACGGGCTAACCTGGGCCACTTAGTAAGAGAACAAAGGTTTAGTGATGTGTTTCTGTGATGGAATGCTTGCCTGGCATGGTCCAGGAGACTAGCGGTTCTGCGATGCTGCCATTGTTCTCTTACTGAGGAGAGACTAATCGTGGGACCTGGTGCACGAATGTTGCAAAATCGCATAATCACGGCAACTTTCCAGGGAGACCTAATTTGGAGCCTTGCTGGTAGTTTTCCTAATCAGGAGGGTGTATGCTGTCTGAACCAAACTCCCAATTTCCCATTAAACTCCTCAACCCTAAGGTAAGGCAGCATTGTGTGCTTTCATGTAACCCACTGTAGGTCTCACTCTTTTGATATTATGAAATTCCCAAGAAATGGTGGCCAAATTGCAAAGATAACTAATTTTTACTCTGCACGTGTTCTCTGCAGGTTTCACATACATATTTTCATAAAATGAACCATTCACTAGAAGTAACTCATGGGGATTTGTTTCAGAATGAAAGTCTTTAGTGATGTATATATTTGCCAACAATTTTCTTTTAAATATGTGTCTTTATTTATGGATTGTATCTAGCTTTTAATGAGAGTTATCTCATGAAAGTTTTCTAAACTATATTATTTTGCTAACCTTTGAGTGATACCATCCAATGTATTTGAAATCATTTTCACCCTGAAGATGTTTGTTTCACAAATGCTAACAGTGCTTGTTTCACAAGGGTTTTGATGATATCACTTATTCCTGCAGTAAAGGTTGCCGTGTATTCGCTGGATGAAGCCTTAAAGCCAGTCACCAGAGAGACAGTCTTAACGTTCATAGTAAGTTCTGCCTTAGCTCTGTGAGACTTTCCTCCTAGACTGAGTAGGGCTATTCTCATGGGAGAGCGCTCTCTTGGAGTGGCCCGCCTTGAGAACAAACTCTTCCCATGGGCTTGCCTGCTGTTCTGTTTTTCTGTCCAGAGTTAAAGCAGGACAACCCCCTGTCCTCTTCCTTCAACCCCTAGCCTCCTGGATTGTGGGCCAAAACAAATCTCTATTCTCTAAAACTCTCCTGCTATCTGGATAATCTTCTATGACAACAAAAAATGAACCAAGACAGGAGTGGGTTTTCTTGTTACTCCTTTTCTTTTGTTTCCTCAAAGGACCCTGAAGGATCCGAAGTTGGCATAGTAGAAGGAAGCAATCATACTGGAATCACCTCTTTCCCTGACTTCAGGATTCCTACTAACCCTAAGTATGTAAAAATGTCTGTTAGTAAGTTACTTTCGGAAACGCTCACCTGGAACTTTGGTGGCAAGGCAGAGGTGGTTAAGAGGAGCCACCTACTGATGACAAAGCACAGCTCAGGGCTGTATGTGTGAACCCTCCTAAAGTATTGGAGAAGTTAGGTCCAATTCTTGGCAAAATAAAAACGAATCCCAGATACTGTAGCACAATCCAAACATACCAGAAGTCTCAGCTACTCTGGATACTGAAGAAAGAGGAGAGCAGCAAAGTGAAACCCTACTTTAATAAATGAATACACACTAGCATGCTTGGCAAACACACACACACACACACACACACACACACACACACACACACACACGCTCAGAAAAAGTCCCCCAAATTGCCCAGCCATCCTTTTTATAGAGAGAGCAATAAAAATTTAGAAGACAAAGAATCTTTAAGTAGTCCCTTCTGTTTCTTTCAACAAAACCACCCGGAGCCACCTCTAAAGGATCCTAACAGAGCGTCCATTTCTAGGCAAGGGGAAATTTGGTTATAGCCTGGTGGATGAGCACCTATGCCTAGACGGCACAGAGATTTGGGTTTAATCAAAATGTGTGTGTGCGTGTGTGTGAGAAATTTTGTTCTGTTCGGCATCATATGCAAGGATTTAAAACCACATCCATACAGGAGCTGATGGAATACATAGCTGAGGAGCACCCTGGTGTGTGAACGACAATAAGAGAGCAAGCTGCCAAAGAGAAATCAAGTGTGCACACTCCCTGCCCTCAGGGAACATAGAGTAGGATGTTTAAGACAAGTCATGCCGTAGTTATAAACAGCTACCACACAACTGAAAGGAGAACCGCTTTGTAATCATCTTCCCTCTGCCCTCTCTAGGGGAGTTTGTATTGGGTTAATTTTGAAAATATTTTTCCTAAAAATGTGGACTGAAGCTGAGAGGGTAAAATAATATGGCTGATTTAAAATTACGTAATTTCTTTAAATGCCACAGGTTCCCTAATGCAGAACTAAGCTTGTTATCTTGTTACTATTCTTATTTCCCAGATTTCACCTCACGCCAGTTGTTCCATGGCACGTTATTAGAACCCACCATGAGGAAACTCTCCTGCCTTAGCAGCCTGGCACCCTCTGCACAAAATGCATTCCTCTCCTTTACACTCTCCTTTGCAGTTCTGTTCTTCAGGACACAGGGAAACAATCCTTCGCAGAAATATTAGTCCTGGATGTGATGTAATGTAATGTCCCCTTTACTCTCTGCCTCTGAGTCTCCTGTATTTTCTTTTTATCTTCATGTCGTGTTCTTTCATCCTTCCTTCTTTCTTTCTTCTTCCTTCCTTCCTTTTTTCTCCTTCCTTCCTTCCTTCCTTCCTTCCTTCCTTCCTTCCTTCCTTCCTTCCTTCCTTCCTTCGCCTATTTCCCCCACTAGACTTTAAACTCCTTAAGGGCAAGGCTCTGAACTGCTGATAATAGTCATGATAACCATGATATCCGCCTCCATTGATCACATCATCTATCTGCATGGTAGATATTATTTTTCTCATTTCCCAAATGAGATGCAGTAACTTTCCTGAATCAAACCTGCTAGGGAAAATGTATGAAAATCTGAGTTGGGGTGGGCTGTCTGCTATGAACTCTGCAGTTCTTCCGTCTTGTTTATTCCTTATCTCAGTGTAGTGCTCACTAGATATTTTTGAATGAAGGTTGCTGAACATGTTACTTTACTCTTTAAACAAGCCATACTTTGTTTCCAAATGGAGTTTTGCTTATATATAGTGTGTGTGAATTTCATCACTAGCATGCCATCTTTCTAGAGACATAATCAGATTTTTTTTACTATATTATGACTTTATCGTATACATTCTTGGATTAAGTAAATCCTGAAAATGTTTCAGTTCGCCAAACAAAATTACTATATTTAGATAAAATATGTAGGAAAAGACTACAATATGAGAAACTAATTGTTAAACAATTTCTGTTATCTCAGTTGTGTCTATTAATTGTTTAGAAATCTTTTCTTCAAACTTTTACTTGGGAAGTGTGTGTGTGTGTGTGTGTGTGTGTGTGCATGCGTGTGTATCTGCAATGTTATACACATATTCTCACCTCCTCAAAATAGAAATTACTCGCTTGACTCTTGGTAACTTAAACTATTCAGTTCCCTCTGTGATTTCAACTGTTTGGCTTTCACAGGCCCGGTAGATGGATGATCAAGGCTAAATATAGAGAAGATGCTTCAACAGCTGGAACCACACACTTTGAAATTAAAGAGCATGGTAATCCTTGCTGATGTAAAACTTGTTTACAAAAAGTTGGGTTTTCCCAGTAATTCTTTTCAGTGAGGTAGTTGATAGAAACCACCCCCAGGTGGAGATGAGGCACCTGCTAGGGTGATGGGAGTTGTGGGTGGCTGGGGAGTTAACGGTTGTTACAGGCCCACAGTGGTGTAGAATGGAATACAGTCATGAGACCGTTGAGAAAGGTTTTATGTCTTCCCCTCTTCCTTCTCTCTCACACAGATAAAGCTTTCAAAATAGCCCTCGTTCCAACAAGTGATCTGGAACACCCAATGGAAGAAGGTACTCAAGGCTTAGGAGGCTGTTCAGGAGTCTGGGGTCGGCTTGCCTGCTAGCCCTGAGGAAGCCAGCAAACCTTTGCAGATTCAGGGTCTTCATAAACTCTGTGGTATGGTCCTCTGGGGAGCCTGGCTTACAGAAGACCATTCTAGGCTTAAGATGTTAGGAAAAGTAAACAATAGAGATGAGTTAAGTAGTTAAGTAAACAAATTATTAACTCCAACTTGATGAGATCACTGATAGTTGATCCCACAGGAACAAGATCTATTTTTTAAGCAATATAACAACAGTATGACCTGAACACTCTTCTTCCGTTCATTCTCTCTCCCTCACAAATGAAGCACGTGGCCTGAGTCTCCAGCCAAAAAAGTCCCTGCAAGAGATGATACATGAGCAAGGTACTGTACAAGCTCAAGGCAGCTGTAAACCACTGCGATTATAGTATCCCAAGGACCAGGGGAGAGAAGACATGGGGTTTCCTCCATTAAAATGCAGGGGGTGGGGAAAAGGTGGACGTGAAGGTTTACCCCTCAAAAATTTCACTCAAGTGAATTTAGGATTTATTGGCCAATACTTAACCTGAGGAAAACAGATCTTTGTTATTTTTCATGCCTAAAACTATGTAAAATACTTGTATTCCACAAATACATCTGGCAAGGTAATCTTTTGATGGCAGAGAAAATAGCCCTTGAGATTCTCAAGCCTGAGACATTATGGTTGTTGGTGATAAGGACCTGTGTGTTGCCACCATTTCAGCTTCGAAATACAAACATCCAGTACTGAAGAAATGTTGTTATGATGGAGCCAGATATAACCACCATGAAACCTGTGAGGAACGAGTTGCCCGTGTGAAAATAGGCCCAAACTGTGTCAGAGCCTTCAGTGAATGCTGTGCCCTGGCTAGCGAGAATACCTTTAAGAATATCCTCATGTCGCGTCCCGATGACAGTGGGTATGACATTTTCTATCAGAACCTTGCAAATCTGGGTAATTTTGTGTAAACCGAATCCTCTAAGAAATGCAGTTTTCATGTCCTAGTTACAACTAAGAGTTGAAAGATAGATAGATACCTTGTAATGCCCAGAAGAAAAGTCTGTTGTTTTTCTTGGGAACTGAAAACACTATAATACGTAGCAGAGAGCCCTAGTCCAAAGTCAAGGCCCCGTGGAGCGGAAAGGCAGCTTATTACTCAGTCTCGAAAGAGTGTTCCTCCGAGTCTCAGACAAGAACCTGAGATTAATATCTCCAGTTGGCCTCTGGATGACAAAATGCAATGATTCTGTCACATTACAGTCACTAAAAGTTGAAAGCTTCTCTCAGGTCAGCCTTACTAGATGTTTCAGAATAAAAGGACTTCCTTAATGTTTCCAAACGTTTAAGGGCTCTCATTTATATATTGTCTTAAAAAAAAAAAAAAAAGACAAGTAAAACGACTTCTTCTGATTTCATTCTTGATTATTTTTCTTTTTTAATTATTTATTTTATTCGGGAGATTATAACATAATCACATATTTCCCCCTTTCCTTCACTCCCTCCAAAACTTTCCTTCTTTGTTCTCTTTCAAATTCATGCCCCCTTTTTTCATTAATTGCTATTACATTTGTGTGTGTGTATACGTGGATGTGCTGTATATTTTTAAACATAACCTGCTTGGTCTGTATATTTGCGTGTATGTTTTCGGGCACACATTTTGGCCTTTGAGCATCTGGCATTGGATAAGCAATTGCTGTGCTCTTATTCCCTGGGGAAGACTGTGGCTCTCGCTGAGCAGCCCTTTGTTACGTGCAGTTCTTGGCTCAGCGTTGAGGCCTCCTGGTCTTTACCCCTCCACTCTGGCATGTCTATTGCTGTTGCCCTTGTTCAGCTCATATTTGAGCGGTCGTCCTGGCGAGACTCTATGATGTAGCTTCTGACATTGCTAGGAGACACAGTCTCACAGCCAACCCCTGGACCCTCTGCCTCACAACTGCCAATGACCCCAAAAGATCAAATCCTCTTCTGGCTACCGAGGACACCTACCCATGTGCACATACCTACACACAGACACAGAAACATGCACATGGTTAAAAAAAATTAAATCTTTAAAGCAAGGAGAAAAGGCTGCATTTGGGGTATGGGGAATATTAAGTGTTTTCCATACAGCACTTCATCGTCGACTTTTCACACAACCTGTCACATAAAGTACGATCTCAGTAGCACAGGCGAGGAGACCGAGGTTGGAGGTTGGTGAGGCAGGTGGAATGTCCATACTGCCCTGAACCTTCTGTGTGTTTGAAACATGGATCAAACAGAGCAAAAATGAATTGTTATGAAAAAAAGGTCTTGATATATTTTCAGGTAACTGACTTGTAATTGATACCCATGAGACTCAGGCTACTTACACATTTAAAGTATGATTCTTAGGTTTGTTTAAAAGGAGTTTTGAAAGACTAAGAAACAATACTCCAAGTGGCGAAAACAAATAAGTCTTTTCTCCCAAGTGAGTGGGCATGACTCTTAATGGTACCAAGAGGTCGATGTTGGGTGTCCTCCTCAATTGCTCCCCACTTTATGTTTCTGAGAGAGGGTCTCTCAGTGAACCCTAAGCTCCCTGATTCGGCTAGTCCCCCTGGACAGTGACCTCCAGGGATCTCTGTGTCCCTGACTCTCCAGCGCTGGGAATGCGGATGTGCCCTGCTGTGCCCTGCATTTGCATAAGTATTAGGAATCCAAACTCAGGTCCCTACACTTGTACAGCAAACACTTTACTGACTGAGCATCTCCCCGCTACTATTTTCTCTAATTTAAAGAGGGAGTTTGAAAGGAATTAGGGATTATAAAAGCAAGGTTAGGCCCATAGACTTCTATGACTAATGTTCGTTAAAGTTACAGCGTGATTTTCTTCAACTTTAATACAAATTCCATATTTACTTAGGAAATGAAGATAGAATATCTCACTGTAAACAAACCAGAAGGAAATAATAAATTGTACTGCAGAGAAAAACATCTTATTATGTAATTGTTGTCATAATGAGAAAGTTGCTCTGCTGTGAAATCCTTCTGGTCAACCTCCTCTCACACCTGACACCATACTTATCAGGAAAGAGAACCCCATTCTGGAAATCCAGTGGTCTGGATTCTGATACAAGCCGTGACCTTTGAGAAGAGACCTAAGATGCAAATTGGGAGTAAGACTGTTGCATCCGATTTAGTATTATACAACGAAGCACCTGTACCAGCTTCCTCGCAAGGACATCTTGAGTCTCAGATGAAATGTTGGTTTTGATAAGAACTCAGCTCTCATTCATGGGACCTGGGCTCTGAGGCTCAAGCTGTCACAGTAAAAACGGCAATGAGTACTTTTCCCAGAGCCTCACGAAAATGACAAGTGAAAGAATGGACAGACAGGCAGTGCCCCATTTACTATCCAGCCATAACCTCCATGTCTTGTGCTCAATAAAAGTATTCTTCCACATAAACAAACAGGGCAAACAACTTTCAGTTAGCACTAACCTGTGTAAAATGAGACCTGTCTGTATTTAATTATGGTAGAGATTTCTAGCTTACATATGAAGTTGATGATTTGCCAATGAACCAAGGGATTTTTAAAACAAATCTCATTTTTGGTTGGGTACACACATCTTTAACCCCAGCACTTGGGAGGCAGAGGCATGTAGATCTCTAGAATTTGAGGCCATCCTGGTCTACATAGTCTGTTCCAGGCTGCCTGGAGTTATCTAGTGAAAAATAAAAATAAAGTCTCAAAAAATAAAGCAAGTATCCCACTTTAAAATAACTTAACCAGGCAGTGGTGGCACACTCCTTTAATCCTAGCACTGGGGAGGCAGAGACAAGTGGATCTCTGAATTTGAAGCCATCCTGGTCTACAAAATAAATTACAGGACAGCCAAGACTACACATAGGAAACCCTTTCTCAAAAAAAAAAAAAACAAAACCAACCAACTAACCAATCAAACAAACCAACCTATGTTTTCCAAGAAATGGAAAAAAAAAATAGAAAAATATTTTAGTTTGGCAAAAAACTTACTAAATATTATCTTGTTCCTTTTCTCAGATATTTTACTTTATCTGCTACCATACTGGAAAATGCTTAATCTTATTCCCTGCAAGTATTTGAAGATTACAAGTATTTTCTGTGCCTTCACTTTTGCTGGAAACTAATGCACAAAATCAAACGGAGTTCATACAGCAGTGAAGCCCTTCCGCTGTAACTTTGCCATAAATAGCCTTGGCTGCACGGAGGTCATTTCATAACCGTAATTTATCCACTGGTCTCACAAGTGAGACCAAGCTGATAAAAACAAATTCACCAGAAGAGTTTGATTGCCATGCCTAGTGACCTTGCCCATCTTCCTGTCAGGACCCTCGGTGCCCTAACATAGTAGAGGGTGCTCGGGGGACACTCACCGCCACAAAGAAAGCTGCCATCCAGCCCCGGGAGAGCTGTGGAGTCAACAGCACACACCGTGTGGGCCACCGTGCTGCCCAGGTGTCCATAATGCTACACTAAGTCGCCACGAATAATCAGTTGTGCCAGCAGAGTATGGGAGCCGCTAAAGGATACTATGCTTGTAAATGTGTATCACAATCAGAATGTTTAAATCAATAAAATAGTATTGCCCGCGTTGAACAGTTTTCATCGATGAAATTTTCCCCACATTGTTCGCATCTTAGTTTATCAATTTATTTCCCTCGGCCAATTTTCTACACTAGGCAATTGATATCTATTCTTCTCCATTTTCATTTCTATTTTCTCTGTAATTATTTACATCAGGATCAATTCTTTTTATGTAACTTTTATTTTAAGCCACATACGCACATAGCTACATGCAGACAGACAGACAGACACAAACACAAAATCAAAAACAAATTACATCATTTGCAGAAAAAAATGGATGAAACTAGAGATCAATATGTTAAATGAAATAAGCCAGTTTCAGAAAAACAAAAGTATGTTTCCTGTACTATACTGAGTCCAGTGTCTTAGTTACTTTTTGGTTGCCATAGCAAAACGGCATGATCAACGCAACTTACAAAACAGAGCATTTAACAAGGTTAGGAGCACAGTAGCAAGAAGGCAAGAGCACACTGGAGCAGCCTGAGAACTCCCATCTGATCCACAAGCACAAGCCCCGGGATGGGGGGAGGCACCCCCAATGCATGCCTCCTCCAGCAAGGCCACACCTCCTAATCCTTCCCAAACAGTTCTGCTCTCTTAGAACCAAGCTATTCAAATAGACAAGCTGCCGGCCCCGCTTTCATTCAAGTCAATACATTCAGCAGTATTTAAAAGACATAAAGGTGAAAGGGGATGGTCTGGGAAGAAGAGAGATGCCCTGCAGGAGAGGGGATTCTGACAAGAGAGGTAATGGGGGAGATGTGATCAGATCGTTTAATGTATATGTATGAAAATCTCAGTGAAATCTGCTATCTTGTACAGTTAATACTGCACTAATAAAAAGTCTCTTAAAAGAGTCCCGAGGCGACTGGAGAAACGGCTCAGTGGCTAAGAGCACCTGCTGCTCTGGCTGAGACCCCTGGTTTGGTTCCTATCGGCCACAGGGCAGCTCCAGTTCCTGGGCATCCACTGCCCTCTCCTTACCCCTAAGAGCACTGCCACTTACAGACATGTGGGAAATATAGGATAGTCACAGACATAAAATAAAATTTAAAGAAGTCTTACGGTGTTGGGCATCGTGGTGCACCCCTGGAACCCCGACCTCTCAGTAGCCTGGGGCAGGGGATCACAAGTTCAAGGTCAGCTTGAGCTACATAGACAGTTCGAGGCCAACAAGAGGAGCCTGATGTTATAGGAAAGGATGGATTTTTTTCCCCTATTGGAGAGAGTCCTTGTTTGTTTCCTTAAGAGTCCCTTAAGAGTTAATCCAGGTGTGTGGGACAAGACCCTTAGGACAAGGGTTACACTTTAAAATTATGGGGGTTTTTTTTCCTTCCCGAATTCCTACCCTGCCCGTACCCCACTCCCAAGAGCAGTCCCTACAAGTGGTTATGAGGTTTAGCTGGGTCTGTTTGCCCTTCTGAGTCCCACTTCAGAAAGTCTTATAGTTATTTATTTTTCTCTTCTTCTACCTTTTCTTGTGGATGCCAGACAGACCCTACCTAAGTATGCTTTTTCCTGGCACCCTGGGCTTCCTTACTTGAAGGCCCCTCCCCGTCACTGCCTGCCACCTGCTGGTCAGAAACAGCATGGCAGTTTTTCCTCTCTCCTCCAGACAGCTGTGAGATTCATAGCTTGCCTGCTCTGGTTTGTTTCGTTCTACCGTTAACAAATTGTTTTCAAGCTTCCGTTGAAGTCTGTTTTAAAATTCTTTTATCAATGAGACTAAAATACCCAAGAGGGGACCCTGATATTCCTGGTACCCTAGGGTGAGGTTCCTACCGGACGCTCCAAGATTTATAGTAGCGTTTCCACTTGTGCATCCCTAAACAGCAGCATCAGTAAGACGGTCTGAAAATAAAAATTTGGGGAATGTATTCTGAGAACTGCCAGTCTTAGAGAATGTCAGCCCTTGTGGCCTGAGGGACACAGGTTCTGATACCAGGATGGACTCTAAACCATTGGCTTTGTCAGGCTCCTCACTGTTGTTGCTTTGTTTGCACCTTCTCCATGATGTTTTAAGTTCATGAACATAAATTGTCTTTCTGTGGCTGGACGTTTGAGAAGGCCTGCTTGAGAAGGGCTAATCTGTGACCCATAGGCCTGTGAAATGGAGCTTCCATGGCCTCAGGTACTAAAATCACTGGCCCAGTGAAGCCCGGCCTACAATCATTCCTAGCAGAGACGACAGTATTTCCTGTCACCATTGGTTTGAAAACTGTCTGGACTAGATGTCAGAGGGATCTGCTCTTCCAGCTCTCACATGGATCCTTTTGTGTCATGTCCCTTTTTCCAGAGCATTGTAGGTTGGGAATTTTCATGTGTCTGGGTCAGCAAAATGCTGTTTGATTTGGTTCACAACCCAAACTGTGGTTTAATCATTGCCCTCCGGTCCCAGGTCAGATATGCACAAATGTCCAAGGTGTTGCCTACACCAGAATGTACATTTCAACTCAGGCATTCCACCGATCTGGCTTTGTTTTCTGAGACTCCCTGCTCCACACACTGAAAATCTAATGCTGCCACACTTAAGCATTCCTAACAGTTGCTGTGGATGAAGGTTTGATGTAAGGTTCTTCTTGCATTCTACCTCAGAAGATTATTTCTCTGGTCATTTGGGTAGCATGCACTGGCTGGCTGGACTTTTGATGAAACAAGGAAGACAAGTAGGTCCTGCAGAGAAAGTGGAATCTCCAGGATCAAGGCAGCAAGGGTCAATGTCTGCCTCTATTTCCCGATACCTACAGAAGGAAGTTGGGACTCGTTAGCATAGAATTCCAGGCTGCACACACTTCGCCTCAAGCACACACTTCAGCATCTCCTCTCACCTACTTTACCAATTAAGAGTCAGGAAGGAAAAACAAGCAAGAGACGACGCCCCTGTGAGACCAGTCACTCTAACCACCACCTGTACCGTTAACATGTCTCGAAACTTGTTCTTGAGTATAGGCCCTGCACGCAGCTGAGTCAGGCTGCAGGAAACCCAAGACAGGAGAGCATCTCGGCTTCCTTGCCCACCTAGCTCATTTCTTTGCAGTAGTTGGAAGATCGCCTTGGGACTGGATCTCAGATCTGCTCTACGAACGATTAGTCCAGGCCTCGTCCGGTCCAGTTAGAACCCGACCATCTCCAGGGCAGCCACCCCGCCTTCTCCAGACCTGGCAGATTCTGTATCGGATTCAGGAGAATAAGCCCCTGCTGAATTCTTTAAGTCTCGGTTGCTTCTTCAGAAGTGGAGCTAGGAACGGGGATCTGTTGTCAAGAGAAACCCATTAGCAGTTAGCAGAGCACCTGGAGCAGGAGAAGCTAAGCAACGGGCATGTAATAAACTAAGCCTGCCTTCACGCTGTGCCCTTGGGGGGCCTCTGGGCCATTAAGGAACCACGGGTGCCCCCACTTGGGGCCAGGAAGCCAGCCATCTGGTCACAGCCTCAGAATAAGTCAATTATCAATAGAGAGACAAACATAGAGAGGAGATGTAACTGCAGGTGCATTTCTAGGGGCTGTCATCCATGGCTGAGGCGAGTTACATGGAGGAGGATGTCTGAAGGCTGAGGGAACTGGCCAGGACAGAGGGCCTGGCTGGGAAATGTGCAACTCTGAGCAGCCGCTGACATTCCTTAGTCTTCCTTTCTTAGTGCTCCCACCGTTGGGCGTGAATAATTAACTGGAGGACAAATTCAACCAAATTCAAGATGAGGTCACACAAAAAGAGGGCAGTTTGAAAAAAGGTTGTGTCGATGCTAACATAGCCACCCTGGCCATAAAGATTTTAAGCATGATCCGGGGACAGGAGCAAATGTAAGCTTCCACCTGCATTTGAAAAATATGTGGTTGTAATTTTACAGAGACCAGAATTGGCCCAGTGACACATGATATTAGATTTAAATTTGACTTCTGGGCCACACAGGTGAATTTCTTCTCGTCTCTAACATCCGATGTGCGGCTGTTTGAGCACTTGCACAGCCAGAATTTGTCTTCTAAATCCCTTCTGGTTTCCCCCGGCTCTTACTCTCCTTCCCACTCCTTCTCCTACCTTATCACCAGGAGAGTAACTTCCTGCCTGGAATTTTGTTTCAAAATGGAGTCTTGGAAAGGCAGAGACGTGACCCTGGTTTGAACTTCCAGGGAACCCTATTTAATATTCCTGGAGCGCAGCCAATCGCAATGGCTTGTTTGCTTGGAAATCTCCTCCCCAGTGAGTCATCTGGATGCTAGCAAAGATCCACCACAGCTAACAGCAGTTTGAGAAATAAAGCACATCGTTGTTTAAGAAACGTTAACTTGTGTTGATTCTAGGTGAAACAACATGAACACCATATTTGATGAAGAGATTGTGTGCTTTCACGGTTTGAACAGGCACCTCCATACCTACAGCATTCCAAGACACTGCACATACGTAGTGACGCAGGCTCACGGATACACAGAAGAGTTTGCCGTGACCATAGCTGTTAAAAGCTGCGCACAGTTCTGGCCAAGTTCTCTCAAACCCTAAATTCTCAAACCCCGCAGCCTTAACTGTATGTATTTAGCTCATTCATCTCGTGTCTCTGGTATGTGAAATGTTTCTTTGCACATCATAGAAATGAACTTTGGTTGATGCATTTTATGTATTTGGGTTAACATGTGAGAAGCTGCCGGGTGAGCCCACAGATGATGGTGAGACACGCTCACCTAAGTAATGAGAAGTGCCAAGTGAAGAGTCAGTTTCTCATTTAGGGTGACTGTAAAGGAGTGTAAATATCAGAATGAAGTAGATAAAAATCTGAATGCATGATATATATGATCTATCATAGATTGTTTTTAGTGTTTTTGCTCTGTGAATGAACCAAACAAATTTTATTTCAACACATTTATAAATAATGTTTAGATAAAAGTAGTGAAATATTCATATCCTATCATGATAAAATATACTGACTCAGTGCAATATCTGTGAAAAATACAGTGTATTTACTCACTAAGAGTAATGAAAACTATTGGTAAAAAAGTTACATTCTCAGCACAAATCTAAA